GGTCCAGACAGCTACCTTTCCCTGCTCCCTCACCAAAAAAAAAACAAACAAAAAAAACCAGCCCCTGTGAACCAAACAGCCACTGGAGCCTTAAGCCCACCCTGCACCAATTGGGAACAACTGCTCCCTGAGACAGAACCCACTAACACTGATAGAACTAAGCTACTCCCAGTGGATATCCTTAATAGTCAAACTGACTACCTCTGTAATTAATTAAAACCTCAAGATTTGGGTACACCTGTGAGCGATTTTTCTCAAAGGTTTTGAAGTTAAAAGCCCATCTTTGTTTTTTGTTTTTGTTTTTTTTGGTTTTATTGTTGTTGTTGTTTTGTTTTTGTTTTTTCTTTGAGACAGGGTTTCTCTTTGTAGCTTTGGTGCCTGTCCTGGATCTCACTCTGTAGACCCAGCTGGCCTCAAATTTACAGAGATCCACCTGTCTCTGCCTCGGGAGTGCTGGGATTAAAGGCGTGTGCCACCTTAAAGACCCATCTTTAATCTGAATCATTTGAGGTGATGAGATCTACCTTTAGCTGCTTGGTGGCAATGCACACCTTTAACCTCAGCACTCAGGAAGATGAGCCAGTTGGATTTCTGAATTTGAGGCCAGGTTCATCTATGGAATGAGTTCCAAGGATACACAGATAAACCCTGTCTTGAAAATATCAAAAAAAAAAAGCCAGGTGTATCTCTGTGAGTTCAAGGCCAGCCTGGTCTCCAAAGTGATTTCAGGAAAGGCACAAAGCTACACAGAGAAACCCTGTCTCGAAAAACCAAAAAAAAAAAAAAAAAAAGAAAGAAAGAGAGAAAGAAAAGAAAATACCAACCCCCCCCCAAAAAAACAATAAACAAAGAATAAGATCCACCTTTAATCTGGATAGTAACTCTTGGTGGCAGCCTACATACATAAAGGATATTGAAGGAGAAAGCTCTCTCTTTGTCTGCTTCTGCTAGCTCTGGCTACCAAGTTTATTCCTTTACTAGCATTAGAGCCCATTTCCTTAGATTTTAGTGATATACTGAAGACCAGGTGAGACATCCAGCCTCATGGACTGAACAACTACTGGATTCTTCAAATTTCCATTGGTAGGCAGCCATTGTTTAGACTACCTGGAACACAGCTTGTAAGACATTCTATGAAATCAACTTTCTACATACATGGAGAGATTCATTCTACCAGTCCTGATCATGTAGAGAACACTGAATAATACAGTTGCATCTTTTTTTCACCTGCCCACTGAGTAAGATGTGCTGGTTGACAATGGTGCTCATAACCACATTCTTCCTAACTCCATTATTCTCCAAGTTTTCAATTTTCCATGAAGACTACTCTGTATTATTATTTAATTTTCCTACAGTTTGCTCTGGATTTCAGAAATTAAACTCCTGAAGCAATGGAGCCGTCATCCAGCTTTCTCATGGGAAAAAGACCTATTTTTTTTGTGTGTGTCTAGTTCCTGCCTTTCTTTCCTGGTTGTCTGAAATCCCAATGTAAAGCAGGGAAAAAGTCCATTCAATTCACCTGACCTCAGTGTGAAGCCACCTAACATCTCCTTTTGTGTGCTTAAATTTCTCTTTAGTTGTTAATATTCTGGGCATCCTTCCACATGTGTGACAGGGAATCACTCCACCCCTCATAGCAGAGTGGGCTGTACAAGCTAGCTAGCCACATTGTGTCCAGGAAGAGGAAGGAGAAGTGCCTATGGAGGACAGGAAGATAGCAGGGTGCTATTGAAATGTAAATCTCTCCCAGTTCTGAAAAGGTCTTGGTCTGAGGTGGAAGGCAAGGTCAGGAACCATTGTGCTGTGTCTTTAAGCACAGTGCAACCCTATAGGAGGTGCTCTTGTCACTCAGGCCTCACTAGCCAATCAGGCCCTCCAGGCAAGCAGCCAGTCAGAAGTGGTGCAGGGTCCTTCCTGTCACAAGCTTCAGGCTTGGCTTTGAAAAGGAGCTGGTGCCAATGGTTTTGTGTGCTGTGCTGTGTGTGCTGCTGCAGGAAGTTGAGCAGAGAGTTTGGGCAATCTGGAAAACCACAACATGGTGAGTGAAGGGCTGCTGTCCCCAGACTGGGAGGAGTGGTGATTTCAGTCATGGGAGCCAGTTTGGTGGGTCCTCCCTTGGCTGGGTGGGAGCCAGTGTCCGGATGTAGAGTTCCACATGTTCTTGCATGGTACCTCATGGTCCAGCATGGTTCTGCTCGTCCTGCCCTCTCCAGTGTGTTTCTGTGTGGTCCTGCACTGTCTTTGCAATTCCTGCGCTGGCTGGCAGCCTGTGCCACTTCACTCTCTAGGCTGTGTGCAGATCATTGGGAGTAGGACTGAGCTTTGAAATAACCTTGTTGACATCACTGTGTAATGCCGGCACCCTTAGTGTATAACCATTTTCACTATGGAACACAAATTTGCTGAACTCAGAGAGACCTGGTCCTGTATCTAATATATCTCCCAGAAGTACTGCACTTTGAACTTTTCACACTTAGGCTTGGGATCCATCTGGAGTTAATTCTGTGGAGATTGTAAACAGTATTTCCTGTGTAAAGTAGCACTCCTCTGCTATTACTGTGATGGAGAAAAGTAGAATTGATGGTAGTAAAATTGATGGTAAAGGGCTTACCAGATGTTAGGAGACATTAATCTACAAGGTAGAATTTAGGTAAGGAAGGCCTGCATCACATATATCCCAAAGATACGTACATGCCAACCATGCCTGTTAGAGATTAGTATGATAATATGTAAATATTTGTTTCATATGATTAACCAGCTACATTCCCATAACAAGGAGACAACCCTGATTTACAACAAGCACAAAGGCCCATCCTTCGATTAAAAAAACAGCCTCTAAATGCTGCTCAAGGAATCATTACAGGGTCAGAACCAACATTAAGTCATGGTGTGCCATGAAGTTATACTAATTCTAGAACAGGGGCATCTCCAGTCTTTCTAAAAAGTGTTTTTTTGTTTGTTTGTTTTTTGGTTTTTTTTTTTCAAGACAAGGTTTCTCTGTGTAGCTTTGGTGCCTGTCCTGGATCTTGCTCTGTAGACCAGGCTGGCCTCAAACTCACAGAGATCCCCCTGCCTCTGCCTCCTGAGTGCTGGGATTAAAGGCATGTGCCACCACTGCCCGAAAAGTGTTTTTGAGTCAAGGTCTTCTATGTTGATTGAGATGGACTTGAACACTGTCTGTAGCCCCACAGGGCATTGCCATTGTTATCCTCCTGACTAACCACCCTAAATTCCTAGATGACACATCTGTGGCACCCCAGAGTTCTAAAATTACCCATTTGAGTCACACAGTGGACTGTGCATTGCAGAACAGGGAAAGGATTTGTGTGTGGAGCACGGCTTCTCTCTTCAGACCAGAAGAGAAGGAACAGTACACTGTGTACACTGCAGGGGGAAACAGACTAGACAATAGCTAGGTCATGACTGAACTTGAAGGCAGTGAGCTTCAGGGTTATCCATTACAAAGAAGGACTGATGGGGTAGGGTGAGCGGCTTTCTCTGTAATTTTCCTGTATGTATTAATTCCTTCCATGTGAATGAAAACAGACAGAATTGGTGGGTGTACAGTTTAGGGAGAATAGCTTGAACTACTAAGTATTCAGTTTCCAATTAGCAAACTCTCCTGTGCAGATATGTGCAATCCTGGTCGACACAGTTAAGTCAGCTCAGATATTTGGGACAAAAGCCAATGGCTGTAACTCTGTGTGTCATCTTACAACACTCAGTGACTAACATTTTACATGGGACAAAGTCATACAATCTCGTATTAATGGTATTCACTTTACTAGGGAGGTGCCTACTCCATTTCAAAGTCAGTATAGCTAAAGTTTCTTCCAATCATTTTTATCATTTTAAAATATCAATTATTGATATTATTTTAAAAATTCATTTTCTTTAAATACATTGCTGCTTTTTTCTATTTTTCAATGTTTCTCAGTTTAAGAATTTTATTTCATTTTTTCTTAAGTGTTGTTTATTTATCTATTTATTTATATCAATTTAGAAGAGTGATTCTCAACCTTGATCATGCCTCCATGTGGGGGATCAAATGACTATATCACAATACTGGCCTAAGATGATTGGAAACAGCAGATATCTATATGATTATTCATACCAGTAGCAAAAATATAGTTATAAAGAGGTAGTGAAACATTTTTTAGAGTTGTGGGCACCACTGCATCATGAGGAACTGTATTAAAGAGTCACACAGCCTTAGGAAGGTTGAGAATCACTGGTTTAGATCAATGTCTCTTGTAGCTCAGGCTTGTCTCACACCATAAAATCAAGAATTGCTTTGAACAATCAATCCTGCCTCTGCTGCCCAGTGCTGGGAAGACAGTTTTGAAACTCCTTCCAGAATGGAGCCTTGTCTGGTCTGTGGGAAGGAAAAATAGATTAGTGAGTGAATATCCTCCAACTTCTCAAGATTTTATTGTGAATCTACAGATGAAGTGGGACCTTTGTAAGAATTGTGTTCACTGACTGTAGCATGAATCTTAAAAGGTCTTATTAATGAAAGCAAACCTGGAGCCAGGTATTGGGGTGAACACTGAAAGATCAGAGAAACAGAACAAGCCACAGCTAACTTCACCTTGCCAATTCCTCACCTGATCTTGTTTCTTCAATCTGGAAGCCTCTGTGTCCTCATCTTAAGGAATCTCAGCTGAACTGCTGCTCAAAAGCCTAAATGCTTAACAGGCTCTAGTTCCTGGTCCTCACACCTTATATACCTTTCTGCTTCCTACCATCACTTCCTGGGATGTAGGCATGTGCCACCATGCCTGGCTGTTTCCAGTGTGGCTTTGAACTCACAGAGATCTGGATGGATCTCTGCCTGCAGAATGCTAGGATTAAAGGTGTGTCTGGCCTCTATGTCTATCTAATGGTTGTTCTGGTCTCTGACCCCAAATAAGTTTATTAAAGTGCACAATATATTGAGGGACACAATGTCACCACAACTGACCAACTATAAAACAGGTGTAGTCACAGGATAGAAAGGGATGGGCAAGAAGGAGGTTGAAAGCATTCCTGCTGTGACAGTAGATGATGCTGGTGAGGTAATCAATTTTAGATGATCAATAAATGTGATGACTGGCCAGTTCTTGGATCCCCAGACCAATCAATCAAGAATGTGGATAATGAACTGAATGTTTGTGAAACCAAATTACTATAGTTACACCAGTTCAACCTAAAGAGCAGAACTGGATAAATTGATGTGACCATGTCTAATATATGACTGTGTTTTCCAGGTTTAAGATGTATACCCCAAGAGAAATGATGTGAGAAGCACTTGGTGTACTCTAATACAAATCCCTAGTCTCTGGAGCACATGGCCATAAAGCCTGTTTCAACTTTTTCACAAAATTATTTGGGATTATAATTACATTATTTCCACTGTCTCTTCCCTGCCTCCAAGCCCCCCCATAGTCCCTTCATTGTGTGCTCATCCATGGCCTCTTTTTGTTTAACAACTGTTACTGTTTGAATGTGACATGTGTTTGACAGCAGGACCTCCCAGCTCTGAAATAAAAAGGGTTGGCTGCACTGGACATTGAGTGTGTAGTGGAATGTGTGCACATAGGACCCTGTGCCTTGGAAGAGGAATAGGAAGTACTTGGGATATTGGTGGATTTTACTAAACTACCAAATCCCAGATTAGGATCCTGTTCGACCATAGTGTGGAAGGACAAACCTGAGAAGGATTTTGCCTTCTGAGTCATTTGATCTCTGTTCACCCAGTAGCATGACTTCTAATGTTCTGAAATGCAACCGGGTAGTTCTGGCTAATGGGGGACTCTGGAAAGGCTTAGCAATCAGGAGAACCAGTAGGAGGTAGCTTAGAGATTCTTTCAGGATTCTCCTCTTGTTCTGCTGTAGGGAGTGGTAAGGAAGTCCACAAGCCATGACATGGTGAGTGTGAGGGCCACTCTCCCCAGGCCAAGAAAAGCAGGTTGGCTGAGCTATCAGAGCTGCCTGGACTGGGATGGACCATGAGCCAGACTGAGGTTCTGTTGCTCCTGTGGTAACCTGGGTAGTGGCCCTTGTTCTCTGAGCTTTGTTGAATGTGTATTCCCTGGGGAGGGGAGGCTCTGCCATCCTGGCATGGGGGACAATGAGCTTATAATATCACTATATCAAGCAATTTTATTGAGAATTGCTTTGAATTCTTAATCCTGCCTCTGCTGCCCAGTTCTTTTGCAGTACACAGTCCTGCAAATCCTACCAGTCTGGATAATAGAAAGTGCACAAAAGCACCCTGTGCTTTGGATGAGGAACAAGATGTGCTCTAGGAGGATGGAAGAATATCTACTAAAATACAAAGTTTATTGACTAGGACCCTCTCTGCTCTGCTGGAAATTCAGAGCTGGAAGCACTGTGCTTTCTGAGTCATTTGATCTCTGATCACCCAGTAGGGTAGTTGTTAGTATTCTGAGGCCCAGTTGGATAGCTCTAGGCAATGAGGGACTCTGGGAAGGCTTAACAATCAGGAATCCTAGTGGCAGGTAGCTTGCAGGTTCTTTCCAGGATCTCCTCTGCTTCTGTTGTAGAGAGTTGTAAGGAAGACCACAGCTATGCCATGGTAGGTGTAGGGTGTTCAGAGAAGGTCTGTTGATCTGTCATTTCTTCTAGAATTTAGATGAAATATGAGCCAGACTGTGGTTCTGTTGGTTCATATGCTGACTGTGGCAGTTGTCCTTGTCCTCTGAGCTTCTCTGTGGATGGATTTCCTTGGGAGGGGAAAACTCTGCAGCCCTTGCATTGGAGAATATGATGCTTGTAGTATCACTGCTCAGTGTGCACACACAGGCAAGCTTTTGGTGTGCAGTGAGAAGACAGATTGGAAAGCTGCAGCTCTGGTTTCTAGAAGTTCTGACCATTGCACTTCTCTTTCACGTTTATCTTATAAATGCTACAAATAATTTAGAAACTGGTAGAAAGATGGCAGTGTAGATCACCTTTCAGCAATACATGATTAAAGTGCTTCTAACGTTCTGCTGCCATCAACTACAATGGTGTTTTCTAGTGAAATTTTATACCAGGGACAAAAGGAGATTCTGAACTGCAGAGGTTTGTCAGGTGTGCATGGTGTTGGGTGGGTGGATAGGGCAGAATCAACATCTTGGGCCATAATCCATGTGACAGGAAGCATTCATAACTACTAAGAAGTCTTTGTTTCATGATTTGGGAGCTGATTGGTGGTCCAAAAGGAAGCCTGCTACATACCTTCAAATACTCTGTCTCCAACTGGTTCTTTCACTTTTCTTATTTATATGTCTATGCCAAGAAATGAATATGAACTGCTGAGTCATTTTGGTATTTCTTCTATTTATATGATTTTAGTGAAGGGCACTTCATTTTGGATAACCAACAATTCTCCCTCTCAATATTCATTAGTTTCCTGTAGTACTTTGTCTAAGGAGAGGGTTTCATTAGATCCTTCCCCTCAACCTTGTAAGTTAGAATGTGTACTGGCCATATTTTCTCCTTCACCTGAGATCTTCTTGCAGGGCTTAGGGTTTGCCTACCTTGCCAGCTGTGACTCTGGGTTCCCAGCTCCGGTATGATTCCAGCTCTGGAGGTCCAGTTCTTCTCTTGCAGGGCCCTGTTTGTACAGTGGATGGGCTGCCATGCTGTCTCCATCGGCCTTGATCTTAAACCAGCTCTACAATTTAGCTGCCAAGCTCTCCCCATTCTGACACTTTTCCCCAAACTGAGGTCCTCACAGAATTCCAGGCTCTGGAATCAGGTCCTCTGAATCAGGCTAAAAATAATGTCTGGAAGGGTATTTCCAGGGAGGGAGAATGTCTTTGATCTTGTGTGAGTGTGTCTGTGAGGGTCTTTCCTGGGGGTGCATCTGGAGAGTGCTGTGCTTCTGAGGAGAGGTCTGGAGGAATTTCTGCTCAGTTTGCCTGAGGGAGAGGGTGTGCTTAGTAGGTGATTTGCAGGCTTGGCCCAGGGAGGCAGGTAGGTGGGGCTGCAAAAGCTCACAGGCCCTGTGCACCAACCCAGCTCTTGTCTTGCCTGTCTCAAATACCTGTGGAGCTGGAGGAGCTGTTCCTGGAGTCACCTGGCCTGATCACTTGTAGCCCTGAAACTAGTCCCTGGAAATCCCCAGGACCTGGATCTAGCTGGACAAGGAGTTAACTTAGGCTAATGATTTAACCCAGAGACTTGGAGGTCATAGTGCTGCTGTTGTAGTTGTTAGGAGTAGCAGGATGCTGGGAACAGTGCAGGGAAGAGCTTGCAATGGTCATATACATGAGAACCTGATACAGGGAAAGTGAGACAGCAATCCACCTACCCTTTTTTTTTTTTTTGGTTTTTCGAGACAGGGTTTCTCTGTGTAGCTTTGCGCCTTTCCTGGAACTCACTTGGTAGTCCAGGCTGGCCTCGAACTCACAGAGATCCGCCTGCCTCTGCCTCCCGAGTGCTGGGATTAAAGGCGTGCGCCACCACCGCCCGTCGCCACCTACCCTTTTTAAGGACTTTCCTGCCACCAGGTTGCCTTCTGATTCCTTAGTCTCTATGCCACTCTCCAGATCCTTCTTTGAGTCCAGATGCCTTCCTTATACATCCTGGTGCCCAGCTGCTTTACTGAGCATTCTATGGGGGCCACAGTGCCTTCTCAGACTTCAGATACTGCTAGAGTCTTGAATGTTCCTGAGACAGCATGGGTGATCCTCATAGGCAAGCTCCTTGGTAAAACTGGAAATATTATGAGGCAAACAAACTCATAACTGTTGTTTTGAGGCATTTGTTATTTTGTATTTAAAAATCTTGTTATATTTTTTATTATCAGAATTTTGGAGCTTATTGAAATTATAAATTACTGCTGTTTCTATAGATTTTGATTAGATGAGTCAGGATTAGACAATTGTTTTGAAACTCCCTCTTGTATAGAAAACTCATGTTTTCAGTAATGAGCCAATGGTATAGAGTGAAAATTTATTGGAATTTGTTTATATATTCAATGTAAATTATTTTATATTTGTTTTATCTATTCCATATATTCAATATATATTATTCATTAAACTATACAGTGTGAGTTTTAGGCTAGCTGGATCTTTGTAATGAGATCTTATTTTAAACAACAGAGCAAAATTATATTCAACTTTATTTATGAGTGTGTGTGTGTGTGTGTGTGTGTGTGTGTGTGTGTGTGTATTCAATAATAATATATGTCTTTCTATCATATTCACTATGAAGACCAAATTCAAGGAGATCTGCCTGGCTCTGCTGTCATACTTGGTATATTCATTTCTGTGAATAATTTGACATGGATCAGTGACTGACACCAAAAATGACTTTAAGAGATATTGTCCTGAACCTCCTCTGCAGAGGTTAAACTGGGGCACTTCAGTGCATTTTGGAAAACAATTTCAGGATGAATCAATACAAATCAGAGTTGGGCATGGTGGTGGTGGTGGTGGTGGTTGTCACACACACCTTTAATCCTAGCACTCAGGAGGCAGATCCAGGTAGATCTCTGTGAGTTTCAGGCCAGTCTGGTTTACAGAGAGAGATCTAGGACAGGCACCAAAACTACACAGAGAAACCCTGTCTCGAAAAACAACCACCACCACCAACAACAACAACAAAAATTTTCCAGTTTTGTCTACATTTGGGATTACCAATATGAAATCAGTGAATCAGGTATAGGTGATTTCTTATTGTCTCAAGTGGCTGTTTCTTAATTAATCCAAAATTAATTAGGATTAATTTTCTCTTAGGTAGTTTGGATAAGGGTTTGTCTGTCTAATTGAATTCCTCAAAGAACTGACACTGTGTTTCATCGATTCCTTGTCTTTTTCATTGTTTCTATTTGATGAATTTTAGCCCTTATTGAATACTTTCTTCCTGTCTACACCTCTTGCGATACCTATTGTTTTTGTTCTAGTGCTTTTATGTGTGCTGTTAAATTGCAAATATGAAGTCTTTTCCTTTTTTTATGTAGACACTCAGTTCTACAGTTTCCTCCTATGACCACTTTCATTGTGTCCTCTAAGTTTGAATATCTTGTGTCAACATTTTTATTAAATTCTAGAAACTCTTTAAT